CGTAACGTAACGTAAGTAAGTAAGTAGTAGTAGTAGAGAGAGAGAGAGAGAGAGAGAGAGAGAGAGAGAGAGAGAGAGAGAGAGAGAGAGAGAGAGAGAGAGAGAGGGAGAAAGAAAGAAAGAGAGATGAGAGAGAGAAAGGCGTGTTAAAAGTGGCGCATTTGTCGATTGGATTTCAGCCTGGTGCATGCCGCTGCATGCCCTATCAATGTTGTACAAATGTCTGAATGTATATCGGTAGGATGTAAACGCGGGTCAAAGTGGTCGTCCTTCATACCCAGGTGGCTTGGCTACTGCGACCGCGAGTCTTGGCAATGTAGGGAGTACTCCCCATTCATCCGCGGACCTGCGTGTAGGTACTGCCGTAGCGTTAGCCTCCTCGGTAGCCTCCTCGGTAGCTAAGTATTGGGTCCTCACCAATCTGTTTTCTCCCGGACTGCAACCTCAAGTCTCAGTCTACCACCATTCCCACCATAACTCCTCGCATAGGAGTGGTGGCGGTGGGGAGGCATCATCCTCCAAAGAGCCAGCCTCTTCACTGAACCAGGAAATGGCGTTGACTTCCAGCTCGCATCATCAGCAACAGTCAACAGCCGCGCATCATCATCATCAGCCTTCAGTTAGCAGCAGCAGCAGCAGCAGCCACCACAGTTCTCTACAGTCGAATCCACAGGTTTGTTAATGTGTAGCGGCACGTGTTTTTTGTGTAACGACAACAATCTGAATGCGCCTTACAAGTCCACCATTCCGACCCGGAATGGACTTACGCTTTTACAGGGGGCGGGAATACGCACTATTTTTTATGGAGATGCGTGAGTAGGCGGTGTACATGTAGGCGACAATTATAACGGTTGAAAAGTGCTCCAATATGACAAACATTTGACATAAATTTCCATCTCGTTTCTCATTTTATAAAAAGCCCTTTTACATGACGTTTTGTTCCGTTTTGTATAATTTATCATTTCACATACGAAAATTACTTTTTAAATATCGGTTATCGTTCTACTTGTTACACATATTATGCGTTATGCGTTAGGCTTATTAATTACTTTATACATATCTGTTTAGAAAATTAGGGGAGAATGCTCGAAAAATTATAAATTTTAACATATCAAAAAATTAGACAAGTATAATCCTATAAATTACTTAAAAACTCTTGATTCCTAATAGTATAAGCGATTTGATAATTTTATGTACATATTTAAAATATTGTATTATACGGATATTTTTTATATTTTGATGTGTGTTAGCAGATTCCTGTATCTCTTCCCGGCCTTAATTTAGACGGCGCACACATACCAGCGAGTGTTAGTCATCTGGCTGCACATGCACAAATGCAACAACAAATGCAGGCGCAAGCACAGCAGCAGCTGCACCAGCAGCAACAGCAACAACCGCCGCAGCAGCAGCAACAGCAGCAGCAGTCTCATCACCAGATGTCGAATCATCAGAATGCTCAGAACAATGGACCGACGGCGCACAGCCAGAGCGCGCAGCGGGACGACAACAAAGTCAAGGACGAGGGCGGTAGTTGCACCACCGAACGCTGCAGCGACAATCAGGTTCACTGTCAAGTTCAATGCGATCTGCAATTACAACCTCCCCAAGATCTTCAACAGAGCTTGATGCAACAGCAGCAGCAGCAACAACAGCAGCAGCAGCAACAGCAGCAGATCGGGGTTAACATCAGCGGTAACTCCACCACCGAGGGGGGAAGCCAGAACAACTCCGAGAAGCCCGAGAAAGAGAAGGAATTGCGGCAACTAAATATGACCCAGTACGTACGCGAAAATGTTTAATTTTTAATTACCCTTGATGACGGATAAGTACAACGATGTTATTTCTGCAGATTCCAAGTTCCTGACTTGAAACCAGGAGGGCACATGATGGATGTAAGGACAGCAGACGGATCAGTCGTCAAAATCAGCGCGGGAAACGAGCAAGATTTAGCCAAAACTCTCGGCGTCGAAATGGTGCAAAATATGTACAAGGTAATGTAATATTGTGGAAGTCGTATCGTAACTGTATCTAAAAATTAACAACGTCGCATTACTTCACTTTTATTTGGTAGGTTAATGTTGAGGATATTAACCAACTCTTGGCGTATCACGAGGTCTTTGGGAAGCTGCAAAGCGAGATTGCAGCTGGAACGACTTTAGTGGGCAGCACTGTGCCTACACAGACAGTTACCACAATACAGAACGGCACGCCGATTGTGCAGCAAGTGCAACTGAATAAATTTGACATAAAATCGAGCGATGGTGAAGCGACGCCTGGCCCGAGCGCATCGCCCGTCTCGGTTGGCAGCCATGCTTGTGAGATATGCGGAAAGATCTTCCAATTTCGTTATCAGCTTATTGTACATCGCAGATATCACACTGAGAGAAAGCCATTCACGTGTCAGGTATACAATCGAATCTTTTATGTATACCGTGATTCACTCAGAATGCGTACGCATCATTCGATATTGAATTTGCGATCAACAATTTCAGGTATGTGGCAAAGCGTTCTCGAACGCGAACGATCTGACACGTCATGGCAAATGTCATCTAGGTGGATCCATGTTCACCTGTACAGTTTGCTTCCATGTCTTTGCAAACGCACCTTCGCTAGAACGTCATATGAAAAGACATGCAACCGACAAACCATACAATTGCACAGTCTGCGGTAAGAGCTTCGCGCGTAAAGAACATTTGGATAATCACACAAGATGTCACACTGGCGAAACGCCATACAGGTAAGTTTCTGTTCATCTGTACAACAGGATTATCTGAAAAATCCTGAAATTTTCGGAATTTTCGTTTTTTTTAAATCAAAGAATATCATACAATTTTATTGTAAAGATTTTTATCTCAAAATTTACATTTTGCTTCTCAGAAAAAATTTTTTATAATTTGCCTTTATATTGCAAGTTGATAATTCGCTAATCATTCAAGTTAATAATCAATATAACATATATCCATGTATATTAATATGTCATTTTGCAAGTTATAAACAAAAAATCCAATGTTCTTATCCAATCTCCTTAAAATAATCAAGCGTTATATGCAAATATTAAGCGGTTTTCCTTCGTGATTAGAAATAGCACGCACAATAAAATAAATTTTCAAAGTTTCAAAAATTCCTTAATTATACTTGGAATTTTGAATAAAAATTCTAGAAAATCTGGGAATTCTCAGGGAATTTTTTTTATAATGTTTGAATAGACGCCCTGAGTAGAGACTGATGAATAAATTTGAAGATGACAATAATTTCTTGGCGATAAAATTAATAATTATATGCTATTAATAATTGAAAATCATCGTTGTATTTTATTTATTCACGAATATTAATTATTCATCTTTGGGAATAACAGAAAGGAATATCTTGGCATGATTCTTACAGATGCCAATATTGCTCGAAGACATTTACCCGAAAAGAACATATGGTAAACCACGTTCGCAAACACACTGGTGAGACCCCACATCGATGTGATATTTGCAAGAAGAGCTTTACTCGCAAAGAACACTTTATGAACCATGTTATGTGGCATACAGGAGAAACCCCTCATCATTGTCAAGCTTGCGGCAAGAAGTATACGCGCAAAGAGCATCTCGCTAACCATATGCGCTCGCACACAAACGACACACCGTTCCGTTGTGAGATATGCGGTAAGTGATACAATCTTGCTCTCTCTTCGCTCTTCTGCGTGAGATCTATAATATAATCGATAATTTTTATTTAAAAATTAATTCAGATAAAAATTTACGTTAGAATAAGATATAAAAAAGATATAAAACAAATTGCGATGTTTGATGGGACGATTCCAGAAACTTTCTGAATTGCTGCAGTTATCTTAAATTTTCCGCGGGGTCGAAGTTGAACAGAAATTAAAACAAATGTTTTAAAAAACTTATCTGAAAATAAGTCAAAATATAAGCGATCGTAAATATCTATGCGATAATATACAGCTAGTCATTTCAAGGATGTTGAAATGACTTTTTTTTCCCCCCTAAATCTTATTCGACTTTTTTTAACTAAAAATATGTCATTATTATAGTGTTGACATTCAAGTCGCGATCGAAATGAAGAATCCGACATTTTTCAACATTGTTGATAAGACTCGAATGCATTATTACACGGATATTTGCGCTTGCTGTTTTATATTCACTTTTAGTTACTTAAATATGATATTTTAATTTCTGTTCAATCAAAATTTGATGTAAAATCAGCGATTCGTAAAATTGACTGATTATTAATTATTTCACCGTATAAAAAACACATTGCCATAATCAATGATACTCGATAGACCGTCGCAAAATATTTTATTACAAAAGACGAATGTGTTATGAAGTACGATCAATGCACATTTACATTGAAATTTGAAGCATTAACAAGGTAAGTAAGATATTTAATAATACATTATCCGACCGAGTACATGCTGCACTTTGGGTATCAATAATCTATCACCTTTAATTATTAAAATACCAATAGCTACAAAAATTAAAAGTTTAAATAAAAATATTTAAATTGATCAAAAATAAAAATCTATACTGAAATACAATGAATGTTATAATTTCCGATTTATTGTGAATTTTTTAAGATATATATATGCTTTTTTGTCACAAAATGTTCGTAGTTAAAGTTAAAGTCTTATTAAAATTTTCACAATTATATTACGATTTTCTCTAATTGAATATCAATACATTTAACGTTATATAAAAAATACAGAATTTTTAAATTCAAGGGATTGAAATGATATAATTTATTAATTGTAGCTATTAAAATCACATAACAGCTTCGGTATAGAAAACATGTGCTTGTTATGATTTTTATGACATTTTACAGACATGAAAAATATGTGCTTCTTAATTTACGTTTGCGTTGAACTGATACAGTGTGTACATTTTTTCAGAGAACGCATTGTAAGCCTGGAAGTGCTTAAATTTCATTTATTGCAAATTTTCTTTTTGCAACTTTATTCCGAACTTTGATAATGCTTGAATATATTCTTTACCAATATTAGATAATAAAAATAGGACACTATTCTGTTATACAGATGCACAATTTATCTTCTCGAAATCCAATAGATTTAATCTTGAAAGAAAAAAAATTTCAATAAACATAAAGTCTTTATATTATTTGTTAATATTTTTATAGTATATGAAATTAATTCGATTTTATACAATTCAGTAATGAGTAATGAATTCGTGCTTATTAAAAATGTTTCTTTCTAATTAAAGCAAAGTTACAGTGTATATTGAAAATGTTTAAGATCTCATCATTTATAAGTTTTTTCTCGCAGAAATATCGATCCCAAAAGAAGTCATAATTCGTCTCAGAGATCCAATTATTTCAAGTAAGGAGTCGGGGAGAATTGAGCATCTCTGAAAATCTTTAAGCTTATCCCCTTTTGCCACGCCTTCGCGAACAATTTCCCCGATTCGAAAAGGAGGAGAAAAAAAAAGAAAAAGAACAAAATCGACGCTGTCGCGGACCAGCGTTGGCATGGGCGCGCGCGATCGATGAGATTTGACAAGTATATCTCTCTTAAGTCGCGCGCTCGGTAACGCGATGGATGCAGCGCGGATGCGGATTGGGAGTTACGTCGAACGCACTTTTGCGCGCGCGCGCGCGCGCGCTCTCGTATGCACACGTACACACGTATACATGTGTACGTGTATATGTACGTGTATATGCAGCCGCAGTCGCTGCCGCGGCGGTGAAATAAAATTCGCGAGAATTGATCGCGCATCGCGAGTAAACTGCCCCTCCCCTGTCCCCTCGCCCCGATCGTTCGTTCGTTCGTTCGTTCGGTCGGTTGGCTCCCGCGGAGCGCGGGTCGTGCGCATTCCTTCGCGGTGGCGCGGCCGGAGGCGAGGGGGAGGCGCCTCTCTAAACCTTAGAGGCTCACGTCGGTGCGCTTGCCCTCTCCCGTCTGCCCCGCTCGCTCTCCGCGCGCGCACGCACGGCGACGACCACGGGGGAAACCCCTTTCTTCCTTCCTCAGTCCTCGGGAATCGCGCGCCAGGCTCCAACCCGCCGGCCGGCTCTCCTGAGTGAGGGGGCCCTTTATTTCACCCAACGTCTGGCCGTGAACTGTGATGGCATGACTTGCTATTTCGTAAATTTAAGCGGTTCGTACGAGTTCTTTTCATTCTTCCCGTTGCCACCTTCGCTTCATTCGCGCCCGCACGTTCTACGTATCGACCTACCAGACTTTCCGATACGTCACGTTTTAACGCGTTATGTTATTCTTTTTTTTTTCCTTTTTTTATCGAAATTGATTCCGCGACATAGATCGCCTTTCCGCGTTTCGAGAGGCGCCAGGACGTTGGTCGCCGTCAAGTTCTTGACTCTTTAGTGCGGTCTCGAGTAGAGCTTGATTATTCTTGGTGTCGCTTGGTTCACACGAAATTCCGTTGTTTCTTTTTTTATTCGAACAACATCGCAGCGATGCCTGTAGAATATCGTATCGTTTAATTATTGCGGCTGGAAAGAAAGATCTTTGAGATTTCACGATTCGATTTCGTCGTTCGTTCCTCGATTTATTGCGAGCGTCGCGATCGCGGCGAGCGAATCGGATATTCAATTACAAAGTAGAAATTCACACGGGGTCACGAGCGTATTAAGAAAGATTAAGATTAATCAACCGCATCTCGCGTCGATTTTACACGCCTCCGGTCGCGGCGATGGCGTCGCGTGATCGCGGCGAGCGAGGCTGAAAATCGCCAAGATCCGCCGCAAGGTAGACAAATTCGAAATTTGTATTTTCGTTTACGACACGATCCCAAGCATGCGCGCCGATCTATACATGTCACGTGACACGTGTATACATACAAGTGCACGTTGACCACGTTTGACGTCATTTTTCGAAAAGAGGGACACCCCTCCCCGCGCGCGATCAGCGCGCAATTTAATTCGACGTTCTAGAAGCGCGCGTTTTCAAATTACATTTGAAGTTTCAAGGGAAGATTTTTCGCAAAATCCGGAGAATCTCGGGATGTCGGGCCGAGTCGACACGATCGGTGATTCTTCCCTTCCCCTCCTCCCGCACATCTTGCGCCTTGCAATTTATTATAGTCTAATTTATTTTTTCTCTCTTCGAAGAAGAATGTGACTCGGTGTGACCTGGCAAAGATCACGATTCATCCAGGCAGCCGCATGTAATCGCGCGTAAATAATTAATTATTGATAGCGGAATGTCAATCGCGGGCCCCTTCGTCTTGGAATCGTCCCACGCGCGATTTTCTCTCTTCTTTTTTTTTTTTTTTTTTTTTCTTTTCTTTTTTTAATGTATCACACGCGCCACTACGTCTGGTATATTGCAGTCTAATGAAGCGCGCCTGTTCTCGGTGCTTTTCTTTCTGTTTATCGCTGCCGTACGCAGGTAAGTCGTTTACGAGGAAGGAGCACTTCACGAACCACATAATGTGGCACACGGGCGAGACGCCGCACCGCTGTGACTTCTGCTCGAAGACGTTCACGCGAAAGGAACACCTCCTGAACCACGTTCGCCAGCACACGGGTGAGTCTCCACACCGATGCGGCTTCTGCTCCAAATCGTTCACCAGAAAGGAACACCTTGTTAACCACATCCGCCAACACACAGGTGAGAGCGGTTGGCAGATGTTCACTTCACGGGCAACCGATATAATCGTTGTTAAGAGTACCTCTATTAAGAGTAGTTGTGTCTTTTCGTGGCCTATTTATATATGTATTGGAAGAGAGAACTCAGAATTTATTTGTTTATATCTTTTTTTTTCTTTTTTTTTCTTCCTTTCTTTAGAACTAAGAGATCGATAGGAAGACTATGAGAGAGAAAGAGAGAGAGAGGGAAAGAAAGAGAGTAGTCGCACCTCGTATAACATCATGCAGCGCATTTAGGTGATTCGATCGAACGCGAGTCGAGACACGAGACATCTCTTCACACGCTTCCGGTTTCACGTATCTGGCTTTTACACGCAGGCTATTTCATTTCTATTGGATCTTACAGTTTTTAATGTTGATGATTTACGAGACTTTCGGCAAAAATTAGAGAATCATTGTCATGCTTTTTCAAAATGAAAACGTCAATTTGTATTCTGCTCGCTGTAAGAATAAAATTTTGTTTATTTAGGCTTAGAAAGTTACAAAAGAATTCTTCTCTCGTGTAATTTTAAAGCTGTTTCAGCATTTATTTGGATATCCGAGCCGTCCTCTTTATCCAAAGGACTATCGTTAATGATTGATCCGTTAGGAATGGGATATCCTGTACGTGTACATTGGCGCATTTAGGATCGGACACATGCATGAGAATTGATTTTCATTTAGACGAAAGACCGGTATAAAGTCTCACTCGCTCATTCAGTCGCTCTCATCGTTCGCGTCTTTTAACATTTCACACTATCGCGCGTTTACACTTAACCGATCATCGCAAAACATCATGATCATCATCATTGAATTCCCAGGGACAGTTTGCTGCAGTTCTGCCTAATACACCGCTCTCATTACCACGCCTCCTATTAACAGTATTCCAACAGTTCATTTATAAGTGTTCACAGCTCTCATTCGCATTCCCAACGAGTTGCCAAATAAATTTTTTGCATCACACATTGACGACTTGTAAATAATTTCCATTACTCATTGTAA